GGTAGGGCATATCCTATAGTCCAGACTGTGATGTTCAACCTGTGAGAAAAAAATAAAGAATTTAAATTAAAATACATAGTACATAAGTCATTCAACAAGTCAATTTCATTTTGATTTGTTTCCAACTTGTTGAACAGAGTCCCTGCATCTCTGAGATACTCACTAATCTTACTCAATACTTTTCTTCTAACATACTGACTTTGTGATTCATGTGACAACACTAGAGAATCGACTAGTCGGTACGAGTATTGTGCTATTAAAATAGCTTGGTGGCCAATGAGTCTCAAAGATAGGTTGTTGTGGCGCTTGCCCTCATCACTATATTGTTCTCTCACTCTTTTTGCAACAAAGGACAAACCACAACCAAGTAGTACAGATTCCTCAACTGCCTCACCTGTAGTGTTAACTGGTTCTTTGAATTTTGCTTCCAAATTTGAGGCTTGCTGTTGCACCAAAGCTATAATGGCAACACGTTCTCCAACTCCTGAACATTGATATAATGACCTAGCAAATGCATGTACTTCATTTGATTCTTTTCTAATAATCTTACCAGTTATGGGTGCTGCTAGTGTATCCAAAAATGAATCAATCTTATGTCTCTGAACAGCTTCATGATAAAGCAAATTGAGGAAATGCTGCCAAGCATTTATTTCAACATGTAAGGGTTCAGGCCTCTGTAAATCAGCATAAATATTGATTCTGGGAGGACCTAGTTGCCTAATGCCAGATTCAGCCATAAAATCTAGCACTTTTTTGTGCTTTGTACTTTCTAAAATGGTAGTAGATAGGGTTTTCTTATAATCTTCCACCTTATTTATCGCCTCATTTCTTGCTGCCATTGTAGGGGGTTTCCATGTGTCTGACTCAGAAAACCCTATTGTACCACCCATTTTAGACAAAGCACTCTTATGCACATTAGCATAAGGAGATGGATATGTGGCAGCTTGGTTCAGTTCATTGCTGGCCCAGCTCTGCCATGACTGGTCAGAACTGGGTTGGAACTCAACTGTGCACTTTTCGTTGCAAATTGTTACAACATTTCCCTCCAGCATCATCATTTCCTGTGATATCTGATTCCATAAATCAGACATCACTTGATCTTTCTCTGATAAGCTCAAGCAGTGTAGAATGTAATGGTAGTCTCTACTGCGAACCCTTTGCCAAAAGTTCCAGCAGGTCAGACTACCAATAGACATACTTAACTGGCTTGTTTCAGGTGCACCATCGTCTGAAAACTGGAATATAAAATGGTTAGTATTTCCATTAAACCAAACTAGCTTTTTACGTAGGTAGGGGAGACGTAAATGCAGGTCAAGAATCATAAATACTAATCCTGTAACAGTTCTGCACAGASCAGAAACCTTTGGGATTTGACACACATGACCTATGTTCATACTTTTAACAAACTTTTCAACTGCTRAATCTGAGACATTTCTCATTAACTTAATATCTGYTCCCATGAATTTAACATTCCTAGGGAGCCATAATTCTTTGTCAGCATCAAAATACGAACTTTGTGTTCTACACATAAAATTAAATTTCCTTCTAGACAAAAAGTTTTGATATTTACTAGCTGTTGCTTGCTTAAGAGCTTCCTCAGAAGTACTATAGCTATTTAATGCTCTACCAAACATGCCCTCTAGATATTTCCCCCTTTTATAGCTTGCAATTAATTTATCTAACAATTCAGAGGACACCACTGATGCCAGATAATCCCAGGCTCCATATATTGAGCCTTCCTGCCCACCATGGATAAACTCTAATATATCTCGGGTCTCCTGGCGCCTTCTATATCTGCTACTACCTTTTAAATTATCAATCATTTCTAAAGTAGTAGGCAGATTTTGTCGCCTGGCTTTGGATTGCTGTTTTTGCTCAAACAATGCTTTGAGCTTTTCATACTGAACAGATAGCTCATCCAACTTCACAGACTTGTCTTCAATATTTTCTTCTATCTTCTTCTTCTCCTCAATTGCTGATACTAATATCTCATCTGACAAACAGAGGAAACAAAATCATAAAAAACATTGCAATTTGTTTTAGTCTTAGTTGGCACCCATTAGTATGTAAATGCTAAACAAAGATTGGTCAATTTAATTAAATATATTAC